GACCAAGTCTTCAGAAAGAGATATTCTGCAGGTCTCCAGAGTGACCACGAGTAGGTGCGAAGCCTCAACTCGACGGGTTAATCTCGCGGGGACTGCCAAGGGAGGAACAATTGTTGATATTCCAGAAGAGCATCGTCCATGGAAATATCTATAAAATAGAGCCAGATCGCCAACTTTTCTACGGTGTTCCAGAGCAATGAGTGAGTTTGTGAGCGAGGCATCACCCACGAGACGTATAATTGAGTACGAGACCGATTTTTGCAGCAGCGGGTGATTGAACTTACAACCTGCTTCAACCTACATAATCAGTAATTATGTCACCTATAAAGCAGTTTTTTTTTATGAAACAGCTATCAAGACAAGATCATATCGTCATTACTGAATAGACGACTTTGCCGCCGAAGGCCATGTTGGAAACTTTCATAAAATCTTCTGATGAATTTTCATAAAATGAGTTCGAAACTCCCCAGTTTTATATCCACGCTGTACAGAATGACGACCGATAAAGTAGAAGTCGTTTTTATTTTCGAAATACATCAATTTCTTATTCTCAGGGCGGTAAACTGAAACGTGCGTACATTCTGAATCTAGTCTGAATATAGCTGATGATGAACAATAATATAGCTACAGCGAATAGCCAAGGAATAAAGAACTGATAAATATAATAGAACAGAAAGAAAACCAAAACTCGGATTTTTTGTTGATTTTACAACGATAAGATGTTCAATTAACAAAACATGAAATGAACGATGTTCAACTAACAAAACAAATATGAACTACTGTGATTGACAGAAATCGACACGAGTAAACCTGGTAAACAAAAACATACATAACCACATCAAAATCAAAATCAACTCGCCGTGTGCCTGTCAGTATTTTGTGTGGTGTGGAGCTGCTCAAAGTAGTGAAAAAAAATTGATCCGTTTTATAAATGAACGAATCCATGATGGAATTAATGAGAAGTTTTGCTTATCATCTGGTGATATAACGAAAGTGACAAATTATGGATACTCCTACGAAATATCATGATTTATTTTTATTAGTAGGTACCTAATCAACTCCATCCAGCAAATGAGAGATTCATGAAAATGATTGATAATACTCGAAGAAGTAGGATAAAAAATCCGATTATATATCATTGCTGATGTGTATGCTGTTTGCTGTATGTATATTCAAATAACAATTTCCACAAATCTATATACAAATTGATGATACCGACAACGTCGTACTGACACAGGGAATAGTATTTTAACTCTGTTGTGTGAATGTGGCTTTTCATAAAGTTCGTCCTAGGAATGTCTGAAGAGACAAGTTTCTATTTCATTTATATTTTTATGTGAAATTCTATCTTACGAGAAAAGATAAAAATACGTGTACACAGGGTGTTTCTCGAGAAAGGGTTGAAATTTATCGAGCATGCTGCTTATACATTTCTGAGATACACAGTGACAAAATTCACACATTGAAGGGTATTCAAATGGTGTTTCTTGAAGTATAACAAAATGTATGTATTCACTTCATCTTTCAACTATATCTCAGTTATATGTACAGGGTGATTCACCATAAATGTCTTCCCCATCTAGCTGTTATTTTTTAACCGATTCCAAAATTTTAAATATCATCTCAAATGATTCTCGATGAAGTTTTTTTCTGCTGCATCAGAAGATACAGGGTGCTCGGAAAAACGATCTACTATTTGATTTTTTTAAATGAAACACTCTATTTTTCATTGTATTTTTAGATTCTCCCTGAGAAGCTGATTCGATCGATGTATCACACTCAGGGTCAAGCAAAAATGATTACAGAGATATAGGGTGTTCAAAATCGAGATTTTTCAAATTTAGGATTTTTTTGTGACGAAACTATTCATTATCGGTCAAAACGGCTTTCATGTCCGTACCACAACTTTTGATTTACTATCTACTGACATTTGATAATTGGAACAGATACAGGGTGATCAGAATTCTGAATCTTGAACCACCCTGTAAATGTTCCAATTAAATGTCACTGGATAGTAAATCGAAAGTTGAGATGAGGAAATGAAAACCGTTTTGACCAATGATGAATAGTTTCGACAGAAAAAAATCCTAAAATTCGAAAAATCTCGATTCTGAACACCCTATATCTCTGTAAACATTCCCGCTAGACCCCAAGTGTGATGCATCGATAAAATCAGCTCTTCAGGAAGAATCTAATGATACAATGAAATATAGGGTGTTCCTTTTGAAAAAATCAAGTTACTCTGTTAGTCGTTTGTTCCGAGCACCCTGTATTCTCTGATGTATCGGAAAAAATTTTTTCTGAAAAATCATTTCAGATTATCTTTCAAATTTTTAAATCGTTTCGAAAATAAGTGAGCTACAGGGGGGGGGACATTCATGGTGAAACACCCTGTACAAATAATTTTATTTTTTTCACTAAAATTCAACTGAAATGACAACTATCGAACGGATATGTACCACACTGAATGATCGATTAATCACTGATTGATGATCTGCGATTCATTCAGAAAATTGAACACGTTACCATGACAACACAATTTCGTGAACACATCACCATGGCAACACAGTTTTTTTAAGCACACCTCCAGTCGTCATTTCCAAATTATTTTGCAGTCGGTTACAATCAGAATAATTCAAACAATTTCTGTTTGTATCAGAATAACCATTAGATGGAAGAGAAATCGAAGGGAATGTTTTAGGTACTTGCATAATTTCAAGAACTCTATGTAAAACAATAGCTCTCATCTTTGTGGGCAACATTTTTTATGCTAAGCATAACAATAAAGGTGAAACACAACATTTATGTGAGCCAAAATTATGCAATCAGAACATGGATGCAAACATGAGAAATCGAAGATATTGATACCTCAGCGAATCTAAGAGTTTTTATCTTCTTCGTCAGATGAAAACTTCTCATTCACACAGGTGAGTAAGCAATTCAATCAACCAATATCACTTATACGTGTCTCGTTGGTTGCATAGTATTATGTATCATGTTCTCAATTACCATTCACTTAGAATTATTTTGTAGGTTAACAAGTAGGTTGATATAATTTTCTGAATTATATGGGATCATGTCGAAGAGAGAAATGAGATCGTCGAAAAAGTATAGTATGTAACGCTCGATGTAACGCGTTTATAAACTCTTCTGATACTGGCTCCGCTCTGCTGAGCTCGTGTTTGAAATACTCGTTATTGAAAGGACTTTTATAACACTTTAAAAAAACACGAAATTCATGTCAGCCAAAATTATGCAATCAGAATATGGATGCAAACCTGAGAAATGCGAGTTGTTTACTGTCTTGTACAGGTCGGGTATTCTTTAATCATACTTTAAGACAGCTAGAGTCCAACCAATCCCCAAAGAAGGAAACAAGAACCTGCCCAACAACTACAGGCCCATTGCCTGTTATCAGTAATCTCCAAAGTGATGGAGAAAGCCATCAATATTGAGCTCATCAAATATCTCGAGAGCTCAGGAATTATCAATGATAGACAATACGGCTTTCGCCACCAAAGATCTACTAGAGATTTTCTTGCCTACGTCACCCATTTATGACAAGCTTCATTAGAAAAACACGGGGAATCTCTAGCTGACCGTTGGCATCAATTCCGGCATTCCACAAGGATCAATTTTGGCACCAACATTATTCCTTCTTCATATCAATGATATGTTGGGAGTAACAACTTGCCCCATCTACACCTTTGCAGATGATAGTACCCTCCCTACTCCGTTCGCTTTCAGAATTTCCATTTCTTTCCAGGAAACTAAGAACTCACAGCGCAGGCAGGTCAATGCTGCCAATGAAGATCTTGCTGAAATCACAGCCTGGGGAACCAACAACCTAGTTGAATTCAACGCCACCAAAACTCAAGCCTGTATTTTCTCTAGAAAGGCAGAACTTACTATGCCCGATATTGTGATGTCTGGCACCACCATACCTACCAAGCCCACCATATCTATGTTCGGTATTTCCATCAGCAACACTCTTTCATGGGATAATCATGTCAGATCCATCTCAAACGCTGCTTCACAAAAACTCGGATTCTTGTTCCGTGCGAAAAGCTACTTTACACCCCAACAGCATCTCATGATCTACAAAGCGCAAATACTGCCTGTTCTAGAGAACTGTTTTCACATATGGGGTTCAGCACCAAAACATACGCTGATGCTCTTAGATTCCATCCAGAGTAGAGCCATTCGCCTGGTGGGTGACGCCACACTCACTCACTCTTTGACATCATTGGAACACTGTAGAAAGGTCGGCGACCTTTCACTTTTCTATCGATATTCTTCCACGCGAAATGTTTTTCGGAAATCTCTGCTATCATCCCTTCACTAGCAATACCAGTCAGACGAACTAGACAAGCCCAGTCAGCACATCCTGTCGTCAACCTCGAAAGATGTCGAACAGCACTTTATCAAAACTCCTTCATCCATAGAACGGATATAGGCTCTGGAATTCATTGCCTGAGGAAGTATTCCAAACAACATAATATAATCTCCAGAAGTTCCAAAAAAAATTTCAATACCTACCTCCTGTCCTTATCTTCCTTAGGAACGCACGATGTTCTTTGAACATTATAGGGATTTCCTTTCGTGCGCTCCAAGCGATAAAAAAAATCGAATATATTGATACCTCAGCGAATCTAACAGTTTTTATCTTCTACGTCAGATGAAAACTTCTTATCACTTATACGTGTCTCGCTGGTTGCATAGTATTATTCATCATATGTTCTCAGTTCCCATTAACTTCAAATTATCTCGTAGGTTAGCAGGTAGGTCAATCTAATGTTCGCAATTATATGGGATCATGTCGAAGAGAGGAATGAGTTCGTCGAAAAAGTACAGTATGTAACGCGTTCATGAACTCTTCTAGACATTCGTTACTGAGAGGACGTTAATAACACTTGTTACATAATAAACTATCACGCATTCGTGTTTTTGACTATAACAGTCATTTCAATCGTGATATTTCTCAAGAAAATTGAACTCACCTGTCAGTACAGCGATGAGCTGGGGAAACGTTCCGCGAAACATGCGGAAAATGGATTTTTCGCGCATCACTCCAGATACAGCACTGAAAGGGGGCTACGACAGTGTTTTGGCTGGCAACAATTTCGATATATTTAGATGCAGCCGACAGACGGCCAGAGACGAACTTCGTTATGCGTTTTACGTTTACGATATATCTTTCTCTCACGCTATGCCCTTTCTCGACTGGAGATCTCTTCGGATGTTGACTCGTGTCTTGATATTTCACATTTCACCACTCCCATCATATGCTGCTGCACACCTGTAAGTAATTTTCTTTATTAGTACCCTATCGAAGGACGTCTCAGCGTGTTTAAATCTCACTTCAAAAAACGCGCGTATTTGAAAGTTACGGCAACATCTACGAACCGAGAACCGTCTGAATGTCAACGTTTTAAATATTGATCTGACGTGAGTACCATGTTAAGTCCAATAAAATATATGGCATATTAGCCAATGGAGTTAGGTGTGTGCCTGATAAGCTAAAGGTCCCAGGTTCAATCCCTACTCGACCTACATTTTGTCTCCTTTTGTCGAAGGAACGTCCCTGGAATATCCTTGGGACGTCCTAGGGATATCCTTTCTTTATACTTAGTACATCCCAGGGACGTACCAGAAGGACATGCCTTGGATGTCCTTTTTGTCTGAGAGTGGATGTCCGTGGGACGTCCCTAGTATGTACTTTATCCCGCAAAGAATATCCTTGGGATGTCCTAGTATAAAATTAGGGACGTCCCTGGGAAGTCCCTAGGATTCAATTGCGTTGTTAGGGTGGATGGGCTCAGTGTTAAAACAATTCTATTATTTCATTGATTTTTTCTCCATGTGCTGATTTCAGAAGGTTTTTCACGTCGAAAAGGCACTTCTACTTTGAATCGATAGCTCATTTTCGAGAAAATTGTAATTTTTCATATAGGTAGCGATGTATCGGCTCACAAAATACTGGTTTTTCCAATATTTTTCAAATCAGTCACACTTTTGTTGCCAATTTGAAATATGTCTGAAAGATCAAATTGAAATGAACCAGTGATTATAAGTGAGTGGATTGAATCATTACGGCATACGAGTATGACAAATATGGTGGATGATATGTAGAGGTGGAACAGACGGATATATTACCTTAATTGAATGTCCCCTGTTCAGGAATTATGAAATATCGTATCACTGTGAAAATACATAATTCAAGGTCTACATGATTCCTTTCCAATTAGGTACCATCTTTAAACAACTATAATCATATCATATGAACACCAAAGGATTGACTTCAACATAGAGACTTTGAGTAAACGGCGTGAGAAAATTCAGATCTTATTTATTCTTGATATCTTACATAATTTGATTAATGTACCTGATTTATTGATGAATATTCACATAAATGTACCTGATATAAGGCTGAGACCCAGAAATACTGTTTTCAAAATATGTACTGTGAGTTCTCCTATCAACAGCTGCTCAACAACCTTCAACAACTTTTCAAAAACATGTGAAATTGATATCTGGAATATCTCCAAAATTTCACTTCTCTCTCACCTGTGATATATTCAAGTTAACTATTTTGATATTTTTTTATTGTTTTTGTTATTTTAATATGTAATGATTAAACTAGGTAAAACTAATTGTGATGTGACTTGAGAGTCTCTCAAATGTATAATGTATATAGTTTTTAGTATCAACTTTAGTTAATTCCATTATTCTCTCTACCTCCCTAACTGATACATTTTATTAGACACAGTCTGTTTGTAATCAGTATAAATAAATGAATAAATAAATAAAATAATCTTGTTCTATATGAAATCCGACAGTTAACTTAAGAGTTTTCTGGAAGAGGGACATGTTTCACGATAAGAACTTTCGAAACGTTCAAGTTCATCAAAAACCATTTCTTGGTTAAAACGTGTCAAATAGAATGAGAATGTTCTCAAAAAAAATTGAATAATTTGATTTCCCTCAGTGTGAGTTTCGTTCTCGAATAATTTTGTATCAATAGTGATCGAGTTCCATGGAATATTTGAGAGAATAATTATTATAGAAAAAACTATTTAGTACACACCTTCTTCAGAAACTAATATTTTGTTTTCATATATAGAAAAAGTATATATATTTGTAACTTCATAGAATTTAGAATTAACCACTTGCCTATATTGCCATGCCCTTCCTTCACCTAATGCAACTTTGAATTGATTACATTCCAATGAATTCAAATAGTAGTACTGAAGTGTTTATTATATAGTATACTCTCGCATAATGGATAATAAAAGTTTATAATCAAAAAGTCATTATGTTATAAAAGTTTCGTGCATACCTAATCCAAGTTATAAACAAGGGCGCCTGATAAATTTTCATGGTTAATACGATTCATTCAAACAACAATTCAATGCTACATCACTACATCAAAGAAAACATTTTTACTCATAAGACTGTTGTTCTGCAATAGCAATATTGACATTCCAGTCCAAGAGCTATTAAAACATCATATAAAAAGCTCTGGTGATGGAAATGTATGGAACTAACAGAATATCATTCATTTGCAAAGAAGCATGTAGCAGAAATGAATGTATTTCGCCTCCACCACGAGAAATATTTTAAGGATACCTGACGTTACACGGTGGTACGGCCGGCCGAACAGGAAGGAGTGAAATAATCAGCCATTAGTCATTGTGGTGCTTTTGCATTTGGTGTCTCGTGTGTTGAAGTTGTTGAAAAGAGTTCATTTGGGCTTCAGATTCAGTATCAAAATTAAATGAAAATAGGCATGGCGAGTAAGAGAGGCTAACCAGATCATACTAAAAAATCGTTCTATCCGTCATTCGGTTGCCCCCTTACGAGCAACCCTCAGAAGTCTTCGAGACACTTGTGCGAGCGAGGAATGATGGGGGTCTTACCTTTTTACGTGTGATCTCAAACACTTTCTGGGGCCATCAGAAGAATGTCTTCAGTCAATGGGAATTGAACTCACGACCGGCAAGCAAATGCGGATTAGAATATTGACACTCTGTCCGCACGGCTACCTGGCTTACTTTGTTCTTCACTGTTTTTTGAGGCGTGAAGTTTGTTAATACTACGAAGGTAGTTTTCGTCATTGAATGAACAATTAGTCAATAAAGACATAGTCACCTCTGTTATAAAAAACCCGATTTCACTCTTCCTATGCGACAATCGCAGGAATTACATGCGAATCTAGTAGCTATTTATCAATAATGATAATAATAATAATAACATTCATTCGAATCGAATCTCTATTCAGTACATAACATTGTTATGATAAAGAAATTATTGATGAACAAATGAACATACTCGATAAATGAATAAACATTTGTTTCGAGATGAAGGAAAAAAAATATGATAAGGACCTTAAATAATACATGCCTTAAATAATATGAAATTGACAATGAAAATATATTAGAATTTGAATTATATTTGTGCGAAAGTATTTTTGTATGATACATTTGCATCACATTGTATAGTAATTAATATTTTACAGGTAATAATCATCATTAGCGTGGAATAATCTGTGATATAATACATTCTCGATTGAATAATTATGAAATGTAAAGTACTATATTATAAAGTGTCATGAAAAATATTATAGGAATGAAGTGAAGTGGAGAAGAAGGTTTTACAAAATAATGATTCTTTCAACTAAATTCGTGTAACAAACATACTTCTTGAATTTTTCAAAATGAATTCCTTAAGTTCTCTTTTGAAAAGTGGAACCCCGGTAATGTTTTTGATTTCATCTGGAATTGAATTATATAGCTTTGGAGCGTTGGCATAGCGTTTTCGACATTCTAGGAACTGAATAATGATGTCTTTGTCGGGTATTATAGTAGTGAGATGGTAATTGTGTTATATTTTTGTTCTGGTGATATTTTAGGTTAGACGCGAAATAATGTAGCTGTCGGATATCGAATATTTTAGCTTCGATATATAGCTGATCTGTGAAATATGTTGAGTCCTTAGAAAATATATATCAATAACGACTTATTTTCATATACTGTCATGGTCATGGCAACTATACATTTTAAAAGGAGTACTTTCATAGTGACAATAAGTTCATATTTCAGTTTCACAGAAATGAAATGATTGGAATATTCAAATTCAAATTCAAATTTATTAAATCCTTTTTCCCTATAGTACAATAGATTGGACGAGTCGGTACATGTATACAATAAAAAGGATAGAACATAGAACATAGAACTGATATAACAACTGTAACTGTCCTAGAAATGAGAACAGAAACAAATACACTGATATTGGACGAAATAAATTAGTATAAAACATTTCAATTATTGGAGAGAAAAACGTCAAACTCCTCCAGATCATAAAAACAATTATTTACTGAATAGTGTTTCAACCTACCTTTAAAAACTTCGTATGTAGGACTGTTTTTTAAGTGACTGGGAAGCCTATGGAAGTAAGAAACCCCAGCGATAAGAGGTGATTTTTTATAGTAATTGTGATTTGCTCTTCTGAGCAAAAAGTCATTTTTATTACTCGTGTCATGCTTATGTATATCACTATTTTTTGTAAATTTATGTTGGATTCGATAAGTATTGCTCAGTAATTTCAATAGATAAATAGAAGTCACCGTTAGAATTTTCTTGTCTCTAAATATGTTGCGACACGAAGTTTGAAAAGGTAAATCAAATATAAAGCGAACTATCCTTTTTTGCAATACGAACATTCTCTGAACTTCACGTCCTTGTCCCCAGACAATGATACTGTACGCAATTGCAGAGTATGCATATGAGTAATACACATTCAACAGAGTATCTCTATCTAACATGGATTTTAGGACTGTCAATAGGTAAAAGCATTGGTTGATTTTTTTGCATACAGCATTGGTTTGCTCTCCCCATGAAAGGTTTCTGTCGAATAAGGTTCCCAGAAACTCAACCGTTTTTGATTTTGCAATGACAGTATTGTTTAAAGAGATAGAGCAGTTTGATGGTGAGTTGAGCGTAGAGTAATATTCAATGCACGCCGTTTTTTTTTATATTCATCATCAATCTATTTCGGTAGCACCAATCTTGAAATTGATTCAGTGTGTTGGCAATTTTTTCAGAGAGTGCAGTTTCATTACTGTCTGATATAATTGTGCATGTATCATCTGCATACATGAGAATTTTAGCGTCCGTCAGATAACTAGGAAGGTCATTAATAAATAATAAAAATATCAACGGGCCAAGAACACTGCCTTGAGGAGTTCCTAGCTCCATATTGAACTCATTTGAGAAGACATCATCAATTTTCACAATAATTTTTCGATTTTCCAGGAATGAGAGAAACCAGTCATTAATACAACCACGAATGCCAAGCTGATACAATTTTTCAGAAACAAAAGATTTTTCCACGGTGTCAAATGCCTTCGATAGATCGAATAGTATTGATACCACATATTTACCGCGATCCATTTCATCATATATATGTTGGGTGTACTCAGCCACGCTCGTCTCAGTTGAGAAGCCACTTCTGAAACCATGCTGATTACTAGTTATTAAGCTAAATGAACATAGATATGTTTCCACCCTCTGAGAGACCACTTTTTCAATTATTTTTGAGAAAATACTCAATAATGAAATTGGACGATAGTTTTCGACATTACTGGGGTCATTTTTCTTGTACAGTAACATGACTGAAGCTATTTTCAGACTTGAGGGAAATTTGCCTTGTCTGATTGATAGATTAATGATATGAGCTATAATAGGGGAAATGACATCTTTACAGCGTTTTATGACCGAAACCGGTATTTCATCAAGACCGGTAGATTTTTTATTTTTAATTGAGTCGATTACTTTCATAACGTCTTCTTTATTAACAGGTACGAAAAACATAGATCGTATAGAGAAATCACTCTTGGAGCATGAAGGGCTCAAATTATTGCCGAAGTGATCAAACAATTTCTTCTGAATATCCGTCGATAAGTATACACCGACGGCTTCAGCCTTTTCAGCAGTATCACTTATAACATTGTTTTATAATTGATTTCTTCTATTTTGTTATTTTTATGCTTGCCCTTTGCGTGATTCACAATTGACCATGCTGTTTTGTTTTTATTGCTGGATTTCTCAATAAGGTTTTTATAATATTGTTTCTTTTCGTATTCTATTTGTTTATTTACTTCTTTTTTCATGACTTTATAATGTTTTTCCAAATTCTCATCTGAGACTCTTTTGCGCAGCCAGTCTAATTTTCGTACTTCATTTCTCTTTTCATTCAGTTCATCTGAAAATTTTATTTTTTTATTTGTATTCACTTTGGTACCGATATTTTTTGTTTTTTTTCAAATGCAATATTGAAACACCATAGGAATTCGTCCAAGAAATGTTCAAATACATTATTTACGTCATCACTACTGTTCACATCAAAATTTATTTTAGAAAAATGGTACATAAATTCATTCATGGCATTGTCATTGAAATCCTTGAAAGTGTGTATTTTTACAATATTATCTATATGTTTGGATTCTCGAAATAATTTCCAGTCAACGATTTGACAATAATGATCTGACAGTCCTGGATCAAAATTCGAAGCTTCAAACATGTGAGGTGCGTTGGTGATTATATAATCTATGGATGTAGAGCTAGTATAAGCTAAGCTAGTGAAAACTCTCGTGAGATCTGTGATTAATGAGGTCATCCCAAACGAGCTCAGCACATCAAACAACATTTTTGTACTCAATTTATTACTGAATTGGTCAATATTGAAGTCACCGCCAATAATTACGAACTTGTATTTCCTCAGTGACAAGGACAAGAGCATGGAGAATTGCGTAAAGAATAGTGCAACGTCATTTGTATCATCAGAGGGAGGCCTATAAATATTTACTATACAATATTCTTTTTTGTAAGATATGGCACAACATTCCATTATCATTTCGATACTTAATGATTTAATAGATTCAATAGGATAACATTCGTCTAGAATGGTGTTTTTTACGAAGATGGATGCGCCTCCATTTCTGTGATTCGTTCGAGAAAAATGAGCTATCGGTATGAAATCCGCAATGCTAGTGCTAGTGGTGAAAAAAAAGTAATATACACCTTGATAGTAAAGAATATTATTACCACGGAACCTTATACCCCTCGACTGAAGCCTCGGGATAGAATCTTCTTCCCTGGGTGATAATGATATTCTCCACTACCTTGGGAGCATAAAAAACTATTTTCCGCAGTAGCTCTAG